CTATGTACTTACTAATTATGATTTAGCTTATCACCTCGAGCAATCACCAATACCTTCTTCAATATTTAACAGGATTTTTCTCTAACTCAATGCAGCTGATGCAGAGCAGATGCAAATGAAGTTGCTGTAGTACTTCTTCCTTCAAACATCACAGTTTTCGCACTAGACTTTTCCGGTTCAGGTCCATCGGACGGAGATTATGTCAGCCTTGGTTGGCATGAGGTATATAATCAGTACACATTTTGTTCTTCTGCATTCATAGCGCTGTTCACTGTATTCTGAAATTCACGCTAATTTACTTCTAGAAAGAGGACCTCAAATGCGCAGTATCATTCCTGCGCACCAACAAGCAAGTTTCCCGTATAGACCTTCGGGCGCGATCGATGGGTGCTGTTACAAGGTACTTTCTGGTTTGTATACTGTGTGCTCCATTTCCTTCCGGGCATCTCTCTATTTCATTTCACTTGATTCAATATTTTTAGATCACAATGCACTAGATGGTTCTTGAACAGAACTGTGTGTGTTCAAGTGGTTCTTGGTTCTTCCATTTAATTCTTATTAGACTGATGTTTATGTACATCTTTTGGCCTTTAATTCATGTTTTGTATAAATGTACAGCCTACTACATGGAGCAGAAGAACTGAGAGATGATGTTTCTGCTGAGCCTACTATATGGTTCTTGGTTCTGCTATTGATGAGATATATGTTATCATTCTGACGATCTGTCGCAACAACATATGGTTTTTCAGCTATAAATTTTTGCTATCTGGTCTCTGTTTTGGCCTCCTGATTAGTTGATAATTTTTTTATTTGATTTGGTCTTTGTTGATGATTTTTGGTTTAAAATCTTTCTCCATGAAAATCGTACAAGCAAACGGGTGGTCTGAACTGATGCCATGTTGATATGTCTACATAATCCATGCTTACCCTTGTGGTTGGCATCCGAGAGAAAACATCATATGTCTTTTCCAATCTTCTCAACAATTATTTTCTTCTGTTTTTTGTCGTGTTTGCGCTTAGGTCATGTTCTCCCTCTTAGTTGGAGTTTAGTTTTTTTACAGGACTCGGATCTGAGAGGGATGCAGTGGTTGCGGATAGCGAGATGGTTTACTTACCAACCCTTTGCAGCGTTTGCCAACTCTCGAGTCAAATGGTCTAACCAAGTTTTCCTCAATCCTCTGTTCTCATTTTGGTTTTGATGCCTTGCTGCCTTCAACATTAAGGTGAGGTCTGAGGCATTGCGATTCCTGGAATCCTTCTTCCATTTTTCTTTCGATTTGATTTTCTGCCTCCCAAATGATGATTACAAGTGCATGGTTCATATGATCGAATTGTGATTGCTTGAACAAAAATAGTCTTTCGCTCCTATCTGACCACCTTTCAATCTCACACCTTTTCAGGAGAATCAAACAACTTAGTTTGTCTGTTTTTTTTTCATATTACATGTAGAACATTGCATTGACAAGGTGTAGTTGTATTGATTCATTATAGGACGGTGAAGATTGATATTTGGTCTTGTTCATCGAGACTGGCATTTATTTGCCTTGCAAACCATCCTGCTATATCAGCACCCATATTCTGAGTCCTCTTATTAGTACTATCTTGGTTCGACATGTTAATTCTTTTCTATTGTTTGCCCTATGATTAGACTAAACTAATAGAGAAGCAATTTCCACTTGACTAATAAATAGGGTGATTTTTTATTTGCTTGGATTTGAGCAGTGATGAGACAATTAAATAAATATGATCTTCTGGGTGTGATTATCAATCGCTACTTTCTTACTGAGCTCCTATCCATTTGCTTTTGAGTCTGTTGTGATTTGTTCACCAATTTTCTAAATTCAGCTTGATCGCAAGAGGTATTCGGATCTTCAAAACATTTTGAACTTTGATTGCGATTGCACAATAGATACTTTGACGTTTGCAATGATTTTCCGAACCAGTTTGAGGATGACGACTTCATATCTGTCGCTCCACTCTTACGGTCTGCATAGGTGGATCTTTGCTGATTGACATACTTCTGAATCTGATTCGGTAGATAATGATTCCATATTTCGATGCACCCTAATCTCTTCCCATACAATCACTTAGTCATTTCTTCGAGTTGTTTCTTTGGCAGATGAACACTCCTATATCTGCATTCAAAGGCAAAGGGCGGGCTATCATGCCTAAAACGCCTAGGTATCCATCCTACCTTTGTCGTATCAGATGGTTTGAAGGTTCTTGTTCCTTTGTCTATACCTAATGTATTTTCGTTTTGTGAAACAGCAAATCACCATGCCCAAAAAGCTCTCGTCGCAAGCTTTTTACTTCACCTTTGAAGATTAAAGGGCCTGAGGTTAAGGGAGCAGACCTGTCTAACTCTACTGGAAATGTTACTACCGAAGCTGAAAAGAGTCCTTCTGCTGGAGATGTAGTTCAAGCTGTATCCAGCCAAATGTTCGTCCCTTTTTCACATGCAGCTGTCTTCATCCTTTTGCACAAACCATGCTTGATCCATCACAATGTTTTGTAGCAGGAACCTAAACAAGTTGATCAAGAGACTGAGACCGCAGTAGCTGGAGATGGAAAGAATGTTCTTTCCGAACAGACTAAAAACAAGAGGTAAAGACTCATAGTCTGTTACATTCAAGCTGTTTCGTGTGGATATATCATGATGATCACTGTTCTTCCATTGTCGTGTCTTCTTTACAATCCAAGGCTTGATTCTGTGTAATTTCATAGACGTTTTCTTCTTAACTAATGCATACGATGGCATTTCATCAGACCCTTTTTTTTATCGTTGTTAGATTGAAATTTACTAAATGCCCAGTGAAACAACCTTTTACCTTCAGGCTGCAATATGTTTTGCTTGGTACTGGTCCATGCTCTTATTCCATTTCTGACGCATGTACATGTGGTCTTTGCTACTGCATGGAAAATAGCTTGCTTGATATATACAATTCATCAGCCATGTAACTGAATTGTGTGTGTTTTTTTTTGCTTAGTTAATCTACCGCTAATTTATGCCCTATATTTATTGCATGTAATCTTTTTGTTCTTGGAGTTATTATACTCTATAACTCTTGTTCTTTATGCTGGTACTATCTTTACTGACATGCCACTTATTTTTGCTAATGGCTGCAACTCAGAGCGAACGCTGCTGCCAAAGGCGCCGGCACTCCAAAGAAAGCAAAGCAGTAGTTCTTCGATGAACTAATCTAGACGTGTACATATGGTATGACCATCCCTTCATGAATTTTGTTTCTGGTGAATCCGCAATACACGAGATGCTGTTATAAAATAATTGTAGTTGCATCTTCTTCCACAGGGTATCTTCTATGTTCTGCTTGCTTATCAAGCTAAATTAGCTACTAGATGGATATGCTGATCAAGAGATTTTCTCAGCTCTCCTGCATCGTAGCAACGGTCTAGCCATCAGGTCTGAGGATCGCCAGCACAGCAAACTTTTGTGGATGCACTTGCTGTATTTTGTGCGGAATGATGTAAGCTGCTGTCATGACACCACCTCTATTTATGTCCTCGAACGAACCAACTACTATACGTTGTAGATATCGCCATTGTCCTTTTGCCCTTCTTTGAATCCCAATAGGCATTCAGTGGGAATTTTAAATTCAGAGTTGAGTACTCATTTCAGTTCTTAGTTCAGTGAGACCAAATTTATTTTCATAGAATGCCAGACAAAATTATCCTTAATTCAGCTTTTCCCTGCTGTTATTTGCCTACTTAGTGCCGAGTGATCAAATATATTCCATGGAGTGCTTTCTTATATTTTATCGCCATTTGTTTTGAATTCCAATCTTCATCCATTCACACCCTCTTGAGACGGCTTTCCCATATCTTCAAATAACTTATACCATGCTCAAAATTTAGCGATGCCTACCTAACACAAAAAAGATGTGCAATTTTTTAAGACCCATTAAATGGTACACCAAAAGTAACAATTTCTAAGTAATTCCAGTAGTAGTCGATAAAATGAGCATGGAATGACATAGATTGTTTTTTAGAACATTTATAGCTGTTTTGTGTTTTTTTAAGAATATCCTCTGCTTTATCATGATGGCTTGATTAGCTTCATACTTTTTAGGTTTCAACCGCTTAACTAAAAGAAGAAGGCGAATTTAGTTAATTCCCTGCTCCTTATTTTCACTCAAACATTTACCTCAAAGCATGCGCATGGCCTGTTTCTCCTATGGGCCGACGGCCTTCAAATGACCGAGGAAATATCTACTACAGTTGTCTCTCTTAGCTTCCCGCAGCCACCAGACCCTATCTTATGTTCACTTACCTCATCTCCCCCCTCCCCCCTTTGCCTGGAGCTCCTCCGCGGTAGCTGCTCCTGCGGTCGAACCAGATACACGGATGCCAAAGGCCCGCGGTCAGCTTCTGCAGTGCCCTACTCTTTACCAGGTGCGCCTCCTCCTCCCGGCATCCATTACTGTTGCTTCATCACAGTCAACTCCATGTGGTCATGGTCGGCAAATACATCTCTCTCTCCCATTTTGTTTAGCCTTTGACTGACCATGATTTCACCTTTTAGGTGTTCAATCTATTTTGGTCCTGAACAAAGGCGGATAGGAGTTCCTACGAGCAGTCATATTTCTCAAGGTATATCCCTCTGTTCCAGATCCAGATCCAACTCTGGTCTTGGTTGATGCATCTAAGATATGTTTAGTTCCTCCCCATATGCTTTAGAATGTGTTTTCTGTACTGCCATAAAGCTATAAATGCTATATTTGCATAGAGCCAGTAAGAAATATAATTTAGTGCCCTTGAGTAATACTGAAATATTCAGCATGGTCTTTGTCAACTTGTTTCATGCCATTCTATGAAAGCTACATGATTGATGCATGTGCTTTGTGCGGACTATGTAAAAACATTTGATTTCAGTGTCCATCAATACTATTTTCTTCATATGAGCTAATTTCATTGCTTACCTCTATTCATATCTTCATGGTGTTATAGCTTTGTTTCATTATGAGTTTACTAGAGCTTGCTGCATGTTTATTCCAAGGCTTCGCTCCTTGTTATTCTTAATGCATACTGTATGTATACCTTGTGCCAGCCCCCTTGGTCTATCTTTTGAAATCGTGCTCATGGAGCTGGTCGAGCTATCCACCGTTTCTCTAGCTGAAGCAATGTTTGAGAAACTCGGGCTCCCTAAACCAGTCTACCATGTGCATCAGCTTGAGCAGGGTGGGTATAAAGCGCAGGTTGAATTTCACCGTACAAAAGAGCGTTTTCATGCTTCAGCACGCCGGGTTAAACTGCCAAGCCCTGTATGTGTGGATGGGGAGGCATCAATGAATCACATGGAATCCAGAGAGGCATTAATGTGTATCATCTTGATTGTCGCCTTGACCTTATCAATCCCCTTCTTCCCTCCGTGTACCAAACCTTCTCTCGCTCACCCTGTCTCTTCCAGACCATCGTCGTTGTTCCTCAACTTCGATTGCAATATCAACACGTCAGTTCCTCAGGTGGATCCTCACTGAATCAGACCGCTTAACAGGCGAACCTTTACCAACATGGTATTATTTCAATTTTGAGTTGGTGTTGTTCCTTAGAGACATGGTCAAATATTGAGAAATTTTAGATTTGCTTGCATCTTGGTTTGCCCATGACTGAAATCAATATTTCTTCGTTGCTAACAAGAAAAGATCAGTTGTCTCATGCAGATGCATACCCTGTTGATATGTTACTGCTCATTTCAGAAGTGTTTGATTCATCCTAGCTAATTCAAGTTAACCTGGGTACAACAATAGATAGACATTTATTTATGGACAACAATAGTAGTGAGCAGGCAATGTAAAATGCATTTCTGTTAGTTCGACGAAATTGACGGTACTTTGTTCTTGCTTCTATATCCTGATTTGGCAATTTTATGATTGGTCTCTCAATATTTCAACTTGCATGGTTTGAATTAGTTTCACATGCTAAAGTATATAGTTTGAACATAGGTATTCCTTAATTTTTCATATAAAAGGTTTAGAATTATTACCCTTTGTGCTTGCTAAAACTCGAAGTTACTAACAAATGCAAAGGTTTCTGTTACAAAAGGTTTAGAATCATTACCTTTGATGCTTGAATTTGGACCTTGCACCTTACTTGGGTAACATAGAGCCAAATGGCACATTTTCCAAATACACGTTCAAAACACTTCGGGTTTGACATGGTCTCTATCCTCAATCAAACATAAAATTACTATAAAAGGCAAATATTGTTCAACATGAACATGGTTTCAAATGGGTCTCTGCGCCATTTGGCGCACGGGGTCATCTAGTTGATTTAAAACATCCCACAGGTGGGAGGCTTCCAAGCCTGCTGCCGCCGCACCGGACTTGGTCTCGCCGAAGAAACGGCATTTGGTGGTTCTTGGAGCATCTCCAAAGACGCGTTATACAAGTGTCGCGCTGAAAAATTAGTGGTTTTTGCGTGCGCTACCGCTCTGGGTGCTCCAATAAAGTGAAGGTGCAAAAACCTCGCGCACGGCATAACAGCGCGCGCGCCGAAACGTCATCATGCGCCGTTTATTTGCTGTGCCCACTCCAGTGCGCTGGACACTCGAGTGCCCGCTCGCAACTTCCACCTACCCCATCCAGCCGCTGGCGCCGCCATGGCCCGCGCCACCCATTTGTTCCGGCGCTTCCCTGACGTATCCCCGCGCCGGTGCTGCTTCCTCCTTCTCCTCTAGTCGCCGCCGCCCCTAGCGTGAGGCATTCCTCTAACGAATAGCGCCCGGCCGCCCATTGTCGTTCAACGTCCGCAAGGTGTTCGACAAAATGCTTGCAAGGTATGTATTGCTTCAACTTCATATTTTCACATGAATTTGGTGCATGTTGTTTGTTGTTTTTATAGCCTAGTTTAAATTAAACATTGTAAATGAGTTCGTCATATGATTCTTCCGAAAAAGAATTTGATATTGAAGAGGAGGATCTTGCAATGATCCTAGCTATGTACATCAATAAAAAAACCGAAGCACGGTGGTTTGGTTATGGGTCGGCAGAAAATTTGGAGGGATAGGATCGATGCCCACAACAGATTGATCAGGCACTATTTTGCGGATCCTCCTGTGTACCTCGAGTCATACATCCAGCGCCGGTTTAGGATGAGCACAGAGTTGTTCAGGCGCATTGTAGAGAAACTAGCGAGCCATGACCGGTTTTTTCAGCAAATGAGGAATGTGGCCGGAGAGCTCGGGCATAACACCTTTCAGAAGGTGACAGCTGCTTTGCGTATGTTGGCATACGGTATCCCCGCTGATCTAGTTGATGATCACTTGCCATGGGTGAGAGTCAAGCCATCATGTGTGTCAAGCGCTTCGCAGTCGGAATTGTGCAAGTGTTTGGCCATGAGTATTTGAGATCTCCCAATGTCGAAGGCGCCGCAAGGCTATTGGAGATGAATAAAGCTCGTGGCTTCCCAGGTATGCTTGGCTTAATAGATTGCATGCATTGGAGTTGGAAGAATTGTCCTAAGGCATGGCATGGCCAATTCCATGGCCAAAAAATGGTTCCACTATAATGCTTGAAGCGGTGGCTGAGGGAGTCCTGGATTAGGGGGTCCTCGGACAGCCGGACACTTTGGTCGGGCTGTTGGACTATGAAGATACAAGATTGAAGACTTCGTCCCGTGTCCGGGTGGGACTCTCCTTTGCGTGGAAGGCAAGCTTGGCAATCCGGATATGTAGATTTCCTTCTCTGTAACCAACTTTGTGTAACCCTAGCCCCCTCCGGTGTCTGTATAAACCAGAGGGTTTAGTCCATAGGATAACAACAATCATAATCATAGGCTAGCTTCTAGGGTTTAGCCTCAACGATCTCGTGGTAGATCAACTCTTGTAATACTCATATCATCAAGATCAATCAAGCAGGAAGTAGGGTATTACCTCCATCAAGAGGGCCCGAACCTGGGTAAACATTGTGTCCCCCGCCTCCTGTTACCATTAGCCTTAGACGCACAGTTCGGGACCCCCTACCCCGAGATCCGCCGTTTTTGACACCGACATTGGTGCTTTCATTGAGAGTTCCATTGTGCCGTCATGATAGGGCTTAGTGGCTCCTTCAACCATCTTCAACGATGCGATCCAGGGTGAGGTTTTTCTCCCCGGACAGATCTTCGTATTCGGCGGCTTCATACTGCGGGCCAACTCGCTTGGCCATTTGGAGCAGATCGATAGCTACTCCCCTGGCCATCAGGTCAGGTTTGGAAGCTTGAACTACACTATCGACATCCGCGAAGACTTGATCTTCGACGGACTCGAGCCCATGGCAGGTGCGCCGAACAGTCACGATAAGCATGACTTAGATCTGCCATTAGACGGTGTTCAGGAGAACGCACCTGCAGCTGCCCCAGCCTCAGATCCGGAGCAGATCTCGCCATCCGAGGATGGGTGGATGGACCCCGCCATGGAGGCCGCACACTCAACGGCGATAGAGCCGAACACAGACTTCACCTCCCATGAGGCTGGTGTCACCGGACCCTCGGACTCGTCTCCGGCCATAGGCTCCGAACCGCGTGTGTCCGTGCCTGTCAAATCTGATTGGGCACCGATCATGAAGTTTACCTCCGTGGATATCTTTCAGCACTCACCCTTGGGCGACATGCTAGATTCATTGAGGTCTCTCTCTCTCTCTCTGACAGAGGACTCTTGGCCGAACTATGTCCGGCTTGAGTGGGAAGCGGACAACAAAGAAATTCGTTCCCCACCCACCACCCACTTAATAGCCACTGTCGATGACTTAACCGACATGCTTGACTTCAACTCCGAAGACATCGACGGTATGGACGACGATGCAGGAGAAGAACAGGAACCACCGCCCACAGGGCGCTGGACAGCCACCTCATCATATATATATATGGTGGACACTCCCAAAGAAAGCGATGGCAATGAGGCAACGGAGGATAATCCCTTTGAGAAGCAATCTAAGCACCGGCATCATCGGCGCCGCTCTAAACCTCGCCATAGCAAAAATAGCGATACCGGCACAAGAGACTATAGCAATTCAGATGGTGCCAAAGATGAAAACAATCCCGCCCAACCAGGCTTCGAGCAGGCCGAGTGGGAGTATGGGCAAGCTAGCCCTAAGGAACAGGCAACAGATGGAGAATCAGAGGACGACAATTACATGCCCCTCTCCGAAGACGAGGTGAGCCTTGGCGATGAAGAATTCATCGTGCCTGAGGACCCCGTCGAGCAGGAGCGCTTCAAGCGTTGGCTTATAGCCACTGCAAAAAGCCTGAAGAAAAAGTAGCAGCAGCTTCAAGCTGATCAAGATCTGCTAACTGATAGATGGACTGAGGTCCTGGCAGCCGAGGAATACGGACTCGAGCGCCCAACCAAAAGTTACCCAAAGCACAGGTTGCTACCTCAACTCGAGGAGGAGGCATTAAAGCCTACACTACCAGCGCACGATGCGGCTAACCGGCCACCTCGTGGCCGAGACAAAGCGGCGTATCAGCCCGAAGTCCAGCCCGCACCCCGGCGCCAAGCAAGCAAAAACACGAAGGCCCGGGGCTACACTCATGACCTGTGAGATAAATTGGAAAATAAATCACGTCAATCAAGATCGATCTAGGGATCACGGGGGCGCGCCCCAACGCGCGACGATGACCGTCACGCCGGATATACTAACAACAAATCCGGCCGGGCCGAATACAACAGACCAGACTCGTTTGAACTACGTTGTGATGTAGCCCGGCATAGAGGCGCCGCACACCCCCTATGCTTCACTGACGAAGAATGGATCATGAATTCCCATAAGGGTTTAAACCCGTAAACATTGAATCATATGATGGTACTACAGACCCCGCGGTATGAATAGAAGAATTCTTCCTCCACATTCACATGGCTGCTACGTCTTGAGCTTGCGTTGGGTTTCCTCGAAGAGGAGAGGGTGATGCAACGATAGTAGCGTAAGTATTTCCCTCAGTTTTTAAGAACCAAGGTATCAATCCAGTAGGAGGCTCCTCAAAAGTCTCACACACCTACACAAACAAACTGAGAACTCGCAACCAACGCAATAAAGGGGTTGTCAATCCCTTCACGGCCACTTGCGAAAGTGAGATTTAATAAAGATAGTATGATAAGATAAATATATTTTTGGTATTTTATAATATAGATGCAAAAAGTAAAGATGCAAATAAAAGTAGATTGAAAACAAATATGATAAGAGATAGACCCGGGGCCATAGGTTTCACTAGTGGTTTCTCTCAAGATAGCATAAGTATTACGGTGGGTGAACAAATTACTGTCGAGCAATTGATAGAAAAGCGCATAGTTCTGAGATTATCTAGGCATGATCATGTATATAGGCATCACGTCCATAACAAGTAGACCGACTCCTGCCTGCATCTACTATTATTACTCCACACATCGACCGACTCCTGCCTGCATCTAGAGTATTAAGTTCATAAGAACAGAGTAATGCATTAAGCAAGATGACATGATGTAGAGGGATAAACTCAAGCAATATGATATAAACCCTATCTTGTT